CTGTCCGACTAGTTGGGTGATACTAAAACAATTAGACCCTTCGCCCTCAAGGGCCACAGGTCAATAGCCCATTCGGCTTCACCTCATGGGCTATTGACCGGTAGCCTGCAAGGGCTACGGGTCTAATTGTTAAGTAGAAGTCTTGTTGAAGCAGTGTCGCTATATGATGTATCTTCTTTGATCTTGTTACACAACATATAATCTTGTACTACCCAAATTTAATCTCTTCGGGAGTATGAAAATGAGCTAGAATTACATCATGACTTGTTTTAAGGACGTTTGTGCGAAAATTTTCCAGTCAATAGATTTTTTTTTAGCTTTTACTGTGGTCAGATAATAAGTTACTTGTGTCAGAAATGCAATTAGTGTGAACGTCCTTAAGGCTAGATATGAAGTTCGGACAACTGCCATGGGGGTATGGTGGTTTTCCTGAACAAAGTTAATATCTTGGTTGTTTTTGTATGTAGCTTGCCACAAGCATCCCAATACCAGTAGTTGAAACAGGAGTGGATCAAACAGATGCCAAACCAGTGGTATGTTTGAAATGTGTTTGTAAAATTAAGTAGTTAAATGGTGAAGTATGCAAACCTGTGCAAGGGGATAGGTGCCCCACTTCTTTTAGAGGTGTTTTTGTATCAAGTGGACTGAAGAATCTCCAAGGAAAGGTGCATTTAATGGTGATCTTGACTGCATTGGTTACAGGCACAACTCAACATTGTGACTAAAAGGACAACAATTGATGCCAAGGAGTTGTAGCCATTTTGAAAACTCAGGCTGACCTATGTAAGCTAGGCAAATAGGGAATATTCTAAAGAAACCAGTTATCAACCTACATGACGTTAAAACCTACATAGTAGAACTCAGTTGATATTTAAAGGCTTTGTTTCAACGATAGATGCATATACAGTTAGCTTTATGATTACAAAAGTTTGTGTGGTTTTAATATTAACTGAAATCTACCTTTTTGCTGAAGTATTTTTATAGGAGAATATCTTATTCCTCCTTTGGAGTGGGGAAGTAGTTGGTAAATAAGAGATAAATTATGTTTTACAGGATATTCCTGTTGATGATCGTCGATATGCAGCAGCTCATAGTGATGTAACAAGTTTTGGAGTTCTTCGATCTGATACCTCAGAAGACAAAGAGGAAGAGGAAGTAGAAGAGGAGATGTTCATGACCCCTCCTGAAACACTTTCAGGGTATGGATTCACTGTGGTAAAGTTATTTGACACTGAAATTGCCATTTGTTTGCCAAGTGAGGCAAAGAGGTCACTCTTTTCTCTGAATTAAAGGTATGAAACAGAGACTTGCTGAGAGACTCGCTGACCCTGTTAACCAGTCATTTGTGTAACCAGTCATTTGTGTAATAAAGAGATTTTCAAATTAAACCAAGCTGACTTCAGTCTTCCCATCCAGGATTTGCATGCAGTATGTTGTCATGCAGATGCAGTTGCTTGCATCCACTTTGATACACCTAAATTGCACATACATTGTGAGTCTTGCAAGGCTCTCATTTTAAGTCACTCATCCTCATCGTCCGGGCTGAGATATAAGGCCATCATATCATGAGTTCTCCACTTCTCGTGGTCCCTGGCGATCTTTTCGGCCTCTGCCCAGACCAAACCATTCTGCTGTCACAGTTCTTTGCCAAGTGGTAATAAAGCTTCTGTTTAGTTACCACTCTGTTTGACTGAGCTCCAATGTTGATGCAAGTCAGTCAACTTTATGTAACAGATAGTAGAGTGACATATCTCTTACATTAGGAAAACCAGACAAAAGGTAAAACTAATTGTGACAGATTGAAAACAGTTGACCGGTATGGCAGCACTTTCTACTACAGCTTTCTTTAAAATCAAGGACACAAATATGGCTTTGGTACATAAGGGGTTTTACAACTACATGTATCGTGTTTGTACCTGAAAATGTTTGTTCATTTTTTTCATTTTTACTGTGATCTTTGTCTATTTGTTGTCCAGGGAGTTCAAAGTAGACAAAGCTAAACAAGTTGCAAAGGAGGCCTTGGCAAAGCAAGTTAAAGTCTCACTTAAGTTTGCAATAGAAGAGGTAAGTGTCAAAACGTTCCCTGGCATTTAGTTACAGCAAGAATTTCCGACTTGAGAATGAAATGTATGAGAAATGCATATAATTTTGTGAAATAGTCATTCTCATTATATATGTATTTGAGCATGGAGGAAGTGAGGGTGTAGTGAAAGTAGTACAAGTATTCTAGTATCTAGAGGGTTTAGTTCTCTTAAAAGTACTTTGTAATTTCTCTGTGTGACAGAGACCTTAGAACCCCAGACATTATGTCTGCTAAAGAAGTTTTATGAAGTGTACGTCACTTTCTCTTCCACATCTTGAGTTATGAAATATTAGTTATAGTACCTGTTTTTGAACCCAGACTTGCAGTAGAAAGGTTCATATCTACTCCACTTAGGAACTCACTAAGATGTTAGACCTACTAGTATTCTACCCCTTTGCAGGACCTCTGCATGAGAAATGCCCTATGATAACAACATTATTTTCAGCACTCATAAAAACTAAAATATACAAGAGTGGTAAAGGATGCTGAATTGTGTGATGAAGCCTATTAATGACACCTACTTTTGCCTGCCTGCTCTAATTGCATTACAGATTGCTGTTGATGTCGGCACTGTGGATAGCACAGGGAAAATAGCACCTTGCCTTGTACTGTCTATGAAGGGCTTGGGTACAAATGTCACTATGCACCCTTGGGACCTTACAGCAAGTGCATCGTTATCCTCTTTGGCTGTAGCAGAGATGACCTATGGAACTGACGGAGTCCCTCTTTATCTTGTACAGACACCTGTTGGAGCAGAACTGCTGTCAGTCAAGTTTTTGAAGGTAGTAAATATAATTGTGGTAAGTGTTGTAGATGTACTGCTCGGAGAGTCGACTGTATCCTGAATTCCTTGCAAGTTGCAGTTAACAAAGTTTGGAATATCATGCTATTCTTTATGTTGGATACGTAGGACAAGTGAGTGAAGAATATTGTGTGCTCGTCATTTTGAGGATCAAGACAAAGGAAGGTGTACGTTGTAGGGTCACAATCCCCTGTGTGCTTTATAGAAGTTCGTTTTAGTTGCCCCATTTTCTATATTGCAGAGATTTAACAACAACAGCAACAACAACAGCAACAAAACTGGGAGCTATAAACCAACTGACTATCTATAACTTAAGTAAATGAAAAACTAATTTTTCTGCTTATATAACAGTTTTGCATTTCTTTTTGGTTATGAAGTGCCAAGTGTGGACGAAGCAGACTAGTTAAACCACTTTTGCTTCAGTTATGTTTAGGTTCTTGGCCAGGGTTTTTGTCATATCACATGACTTTAACCTCCACAACTTTGACTTCATCACTTGCTCAAGTGATAACTAGTTAAGTAAGCAAAGTGATGGCTTGTGCCTTCACACCACTATGGAAACACTAGAAAAGTTAATAGACCACTTGTTGACTTTGAAAGTTTTGTGTTCTCTTAACTTCTGTGCTCTCCGTAGTTACGAGGAGCTTGTAAACTTGTTTTATGTATTTTTAACGTGGAATGTTTGCTTTATCTTGTGTGTTATAGGTTGAAAAAGACCATCCTGAATACAGCTCAACATTCAAGTCCACCCAGCAGTCTGTTGGTGTGGAATTCTCCTCATTACAAGTAAAACTGCATCAAGAAGCTTTGCTCAGCATCATTGATCTTTCAACAAAGCTACTCCCTCCCAGGTGGAGTATTTTATATTTTTACAACCACACACTGTTTCCTTTTTTTCAGTGGCATGCCTGTAAACTAGCTAAGCTTAGTGCTTGTATAGCTAAGTGCATGACTACTATAAATAAGATTTACATTTACATTACCAACCTGAGGACTGTCAAATTCTTCATATGCCAGGAAATTCTATTTGGACATTGGCGCAGGAGTAGAATAGGGAGCGCCTTTAGTCCTAACCAATCAAATTGCAGTATTTTGATCACATGATTGAAATGGCGTCGAGAATGGAATGTGGAAATACAGCCTTCTGATTGGTTCATTTCAATCACGTGATCAAAATACTGCAATCTGATTGCATAGGTCCCAGATGTGCCCCCTATACTACTCTACTTACCTATTAGCCTCCAAGCAGTCATTTCAATTGTACCTATTCTTTGTTCCTTCGTCAGTGAGGAGAGCCTACCTCTCCCTGGAGTGGTTGGTGACAGCACAAAGACAGAAGGAAAATATGGTTTTCAGGTATCTCAGGCCATTGTTCCAAAAGGGAAGAAGAAGAAAGACGACAAAGATGAAATACAGATTGAGGTAAAAGCCAAACTTGGAGAAATTGGTGTTACAGTGACATCCGTTGATGGGGATTTGAGTCACGTTATTGTTGGGGGTGAGTGACTTACTCAGCAGACCTTTAGTATGACATTATTTTTTGCACAAACAACAGAAGTTTATTTATATTTTGTAAACATACTTTAATGTCATATATCAAACACGAAAGATCGTGATCCAAAAACCGAGAAGAGAGTTGAAACTACGACGCGTAGCGGAGTATTTCTGACGAACTTCGAGGTGTTTGGAAATGCGGTCAAACACTGTCTTGAGTGTTTGATTTATCTTCTCAATCGAAACTAAAACTATGGAGAAAACGTAGAAATAAAATCGCAAAAATCTATGCTAATTAAGATCAGATATTCAAACACCGTCACAGTCATGATTTTCTTTGTTTAAACTTGATGAATGACTAATGAGTCTGAGAAACAATGTTGAAACGTCTGTGGCAGGTAGAATTCCATCCAGAATTACTGAATAACTACATGTATAGTGAACCGATCTAGCTGAATGGCTGATATGATGAATTGAAGTAATGCCGGGTGATACATGTATGTTTAGCAACTAACACACACACAAACTTGTACATCATGCACTACTTATATTGCTTATATGAAAAGAAGGAATGAAAGAAAGATGGAATAGTATAGACAGCGATGTCTGGAATTGCAAAGTTAATAGCAGTTTAAGAATTAATAGATTTTTGGAAGACACTGCATACCGTTTCAAGATTATGAAGAGTTGTTAATTTTTAAGTCTTACATTTCTTGTCTAATGCCATGACATTTTTTCACTTGTAAAGGGTTGTCAGCCAACTGTATTGTCAGAGGCAGTAGAACAGAAGTTACAGCAAGGTGTGCATGAGGACGTCTTACAGTAAACAGTGTAAAACCTTGTCTCACAAAGTCACTGTAATAGTTCTTTTAATATTACTTGGGTATGTTACAAGAGGCCATATTTAGACTAATTACACATCAGCTTTTAAATCTTCAACTGGCTGATGTATTGGCCTGGTGGCTAGAAGATCCACGTTAAGAATGTCAGATATAACAACCCAGTGATTAAGTCAGCTTTGATTACTGGGTTGTCCTCGTCTTTACCTAGGTTTCTAGAATGCTTTCTAGAGTGCGTTTTTGTTTATTCGATTATTTCCTCCAAGGGTCAGGTGTTTAAAGTGTGGGTAATGCTTCCTCTAGAACAAAAAATCATTCTACGATCGTGTCGGGTGCTTTACATCAACAGCATCAATTAAAGGCATCAATTATTTTCTTTTTGTCTTACTCTAAGTTGTGAAACATTGCTTCTTGTTGGCATCTTCTAATCATCTTTGCTTCATTTCAGTATGAAAAATTTGTCAGTGTTGGATACTACCCCTGGAGCTCTGTATTCAAAAATTGTGTCCATTGTGAACCAGGAAGTGTTTAGCCTTCAGGTATGGGAAATATGCGTAGTTATTATATGGCGAGGTAGCCTTTAGGTAAATCCGAGCATTGTGATTGTTTCTTTCTTGGTTGGGATTTTGCCATACAGCCCGTTTCCATGGAAATGTTCACAAGCCGTGCATTTTTTGTTTTCGAAAGCTGGCAAATTCAGTTAACAAGCATGGCCCGAGTGCCATACAATAAACTACTTCCAAACCTAGGTTGCTCACTCTGTACTGTGGATTATCGCTGTGCTTGGTCCATACTGCCACGAGCTCGAGCCAATACTCCCCAGTGCGGCGTTCGCACTAGGTTAGTTAGGAGTTAATCCCTTTGTATGAAATTGACATCGCAACAGAATGGTTTCTGCAGCAAGTACTATTTAAATGTGTGTTGAAAGGTGATGAAAAGAAGTTGTTTTCAAATTGAGATAATATGAGATTTTCAATTTTATATTTATGTTACGATGTCTTGCTACGACAACAACAACAACAACAGTTTGTTTCTACTACTGTAAACAACTAAAAGAATTTACAAGATTATAATTATAAATAAATAAATAAACAGTACAGTACATACAGTAGTGGGACACTCAAAACTTTGTTTTTGAAGTCTACCTAATGTTTATTTTTCACAGGTTGTTGTCTTCAATGAAGTAACTTCTGGTAGACACTTTAGGGACATGGAAGCTGTTGATGTGAAATTCCAGATGAGAATTGGATGTATTAGAGTTGTCTTCCTCAACAAATTTGTGATGAACCTTTTGGTAAGTGTCAGGGACTAAAAAGTTAAGAAGAAATCCGATGGGAAATCGAGCAATTTCAGTTTTTAATGGACAAGAATCTTGTACCAGAATAACTTTAAGTATAGTACGGTCCTTTTTGGGTTTTCTAAAAGCTAAAGATATAAACAGTTGCCTGAAATAACACCAAAAACAATTTCCCATGGGAATTCGAGAATACAAATTTCAAAGTTCAGAGAAATTGTCCGAACATAGGTAAAATTTCATCATCGTTTGATTTCACCAGTACTTTGAGAAGATATTTATAACAGTCGCACAAAAGTTTGCAATACGATCTAAATAGTCTCGGTACAAAGTTCTTGTCCGTTTTTTACTCGAACTTCTGGTGGATTCCTTCCTAATTGTTTCAAATGTTACAAAGTGAGGATCACTTTACATTATGTTTTAGGTAACTCTTGTAAAAAAGGTTTCCTTTCTTTCCTTTCTGTCAGGCCTTTTTGAACAAGTTTCAACGGGCAAAGGATGCCATGGAGTATGCCAGAAAAAGTGCTGCTGAGTCAGCCACTGCAACAGTAAGTCACCAGATGCAAAGTCCTGTGAATAAGTTTCCTGGAACATTTCACAGTAACAGAACACTTGTTTCCATTCTGTCCTTCCTTGTAGATTCAGAGTTTCCAAACTCAAAGCTCAAGAATAAGCTTGTCTGTGTCCATCCAAGCGCCCTTGATAGTCATTCCCGTCAGTTCAAATTCTCTTGATGCATTGGTTGCAAACCTTGGCCACCTCAGTGTGTCAAACACGTTCAATCTTGCGCATGATGGTGAAGATCCCAGTGGAAGCGATGCTGTTGTAGTTGACAACATGGTTGTGGAGCTCAGTTCAGTGCAGTTGTCAAGGTTGAAATTTGAAACGTTTTAATTCTTAGTATGAAGTAATGGACTGTATTTTGTTGGAAGGAAATCCACTTATGATGAGTATTAGGTTCTCAATTTGAGTCAAACAATTTGGAACTCCATCGCTACTTAATTAATTGTATCCAGAACCTGAATTTTGAACTGTTTTTTTTTTATTCACTATGTTTGTGGTGATTTTCTACCCATTGCCATTCGCATTTAGACTGTACTTCAGTAGAAACATACTTAATGAAAGTGATAAGGAGAACTGTTTTAGTGTCTAGTGGCTGTGCTTCAGTAAGTCACATCAGTTGAGTTTATCATTTGGGCTGTTTCGTTGTGGATGGAAAGATTAGCGCTGTTGAAATTTACCTTGCTATTGTTCTTGGTCTCATTTAGGGCTGTAATGACAGATGGAGAAAACATAGGAGCAACCCGTTTAGTTCTGGAACCTGTTAGTTTAGCAGTATATGTAGCTCGCAATCTGTCTCCTTGGTACCATGATGTACCAGATGTTGATGTTATGGGAAAGCTGCATGCCGTGAAGGTCAGTTGTGTTTACAAAGAGGAAATAGTAACCAGCGTCTAGTGACAACTCTTGCTTAATGTCGTCGATGTTTTAACGTGTTAAAACACGTCTTGTTCATGTAGTTGATGTTGATAAAAGAGCAGTGATTTCTACTAATTCTGTAGTCCGGTACAATGCAATACATGGTTGCTATCTTTATGTATAAACATGTACCTGTGTGCTTCAGAAATATTTTTATTTTAAATACTTTTCTTTGATATGCAGGGAAAGGGCCGTAATTCATATTTTTGTAAGCCTTTCCTGCAAACATCCCAAGTCTATCCCAGTAGGTTTGCACATATCATTAACTGGTAGGCATCGATTTAAAAAGGATTAGGCTGCAAATTAGCTGATGTACAGAGAATCAAGTTAACCACAGTATTTACTACAACCCTATTTCTGAGCTGATCACTTGCATAAGACTGGGTTAAGTAGACATATTCTGCAGAATCAGAGAAACTTTAAAGTGCGCGGATTTGGCTGCATTTAAGGTGGCTTACTACAGTTTTGATGGATTAAAACAGCCCAACTTCTAACTCTTTTGAAAATTGTTCCAAGATGTTTTTCTTTTCTCTATTTACTGTCTACTTAAGTCTTTTACCATTCTATGTGAAACTTGAACAATTAAACGTCAACAAGTGGCCAAAATGAACGAACAAGTACCTAAGGAGAGACTGGGCACTAGTAGGTTAAATCACGTTTTTCTCAAAATTTACTCGTATGACCCCACCTCAAAATTTCAGGAATAAGAAATGGGCTCTGATTTAACATTCATGCACAGTAAAATAAAAATCTTTAAGACAGATTTTGAGCTATTTTTGATTTCTCATTTTCTTAGTTTGCAAAAAATCTGCCTTACAGATTTTTATTTTACTGTGCATGAATGTCAAATCAGAGCCAATCTCTTATTCCTGAAATTTTGAGGTGGGGTCATATAGGTAAATTTTGAGGAAAACGTTGTTTAACCTACTAGTGCCCAGTCTCTTCTTAGGTACTTTGTCGTTCATTTTGGCCTCTGTTGACGTTTAATTGTTCAAGTTTCACATAGAATGGTGAAAGACTTAAGAGAGAAAGGAAAAACATCGTGGAACATTTTTCAAAAGTGTTAAACTTGTTAGCATTGCTGGATGTTTCCGTTTCAGTTGTGTGCTGGCGAAGATGACACCAGAACTATGCTTGGGATATTGTTTCAGAATCTTAGTGAAGGTGTTACTTCTTCCCAAGCAGGTAAAAGATTTATTTTTGAAATTGAATTACTCAGTTTAATGTGGAACCGTAGTAAAACCGTTTAACAATATTTTTACTTCATGTTTTAGAACCATCCCAAGCTGCAGAAGGCATCAGTCCCATTGCTAAGGACATGGTTGGTAAGAGTATTTGCATTTTTAGTGTTTTTGATTTTGTTTTAGAACAAGCTCAAACGTGTCAGCTTCCACAGATTCTGTGGTTATCTAACTGTAGTACTTGCCTCAAAAAGTTTTTGCAACTGTTTTTGCGAGTTGAAGGATGAAGCCTGCCACTTAACGAGATGAAAGCTAGGCCATCCTTATTTGAAGCGATTTTTAAGAGCAATCTATTTTTCACATGGAATATTTTGTACATGTTTTGTACACATATAGGTGCTGGAGTTTGTAATGTTGTCATGAATATTTAAAAAAAGACCTCCAAACTCGTCTGCTTTTACTCTAGACAACGATTGCACTCCCCAGACCCTCTAAGTTTTGTTTTCTGACAATTCAAGTGATTTGTATGTTTGTAATGCAAAGTTAATCACTGGAGCTAGATGGAAGTCGCCTTTTAAGAGAGTTTACCACCTGATCGTTGTGTTTGCAGTGGCTATAATTTATTTTACGTACTTGACAATATCCTTGACACAATGGGACCACACACCTCAGGAAATGCAAGATTACTTTAAGCTTTTAGAGTAGCCTGCAGATTCTGCGACGTGCATTTCTGTAATGTACGAGATCCTGTGCAACTTAACTTTGTATTTTATGACTTGACACTGGAAGCCAAAAAATAAGCGCATTCTCTGATGGTCAAAACTGGATAAGATTGCATCATGACCTAAATATGTTTTCTCTAAGGCTAAAGAAATCAAGTTTATGTCTTGTTTTGGTACACACACACCCTGAACCTACATAAGATTGTCACCAGGATTTTCTCGTTTCTGTCACTTGAAGGTTAACTGTTTATGACGCAATGTTTTAGACACCATTTCCACTCTCTTTACTCCTACTAAACTGAATATGTGCAATTTCAGATGCAGAAGTCACGACTCAGGACCCCAGTGTTGCAGCTCCAGTTTCAAGGGAAGATGTATGGGACAGTGTTAAATTTTCATTTGAGGTTGAAGAGGTTTCTGCTGCAGTGTTCTGGAAGGAAACTGCTAAGGTGACTAATATCATTGCACAATCATCATGTAATTGAAAACTTCAGTATTAGTGAAAACCAGTTTTTGTCTAGAGTGTTGTGGTTTTGTAGATGTTTTTACTACAGATACACTGTTAACTACCACAGTCAATCCACAGTGTGTGTTATTCAGGTCTTTGCACAGTAGACTTGTTATGTTCAGATGCCTTTGATTTAAATTTCATGTTTTTTGACAATGAAACGTTCTTAGCATGTCTACTGGTGTGGCTCTCGTTTCTTTAACATTTTTCAAAAATCCTGCTGTTTTCTCATGTAATTAGAATGATTGGTGTAAATGTTTTTGTATTCTCATTAGTGTCTTTTCCTCATTGTTTTCTTAGGGTGTGTTCCTTTGGGTTGATCTGGATCGGGATCAGTGATCCAAGATCTGTCTGGATCTTGGTGCATCAAAGGAACCGATGAATCCATGACCAGAGTGGATTCATCGGTTCCTTTGATGCACCACGATCCAGACAGATCTTGGATCACTGATCCTGATCCAGATCACTCCAAAGGAACGCACCCTTACACTATTGCGTTATTAGCCTTCAGGTAACAAGTCCTCCAGAGAGCCTGACTGCTGTCTGGGGCAATTCTCACTCGTTCAATTGGCGGCCTCAGGAAAAGTCAAGTCGAACTCCTCAATAAGTGCCAGTGTCACGTTAGCGAGTTGCGTTCTTGATGACAAACGACCACAGAGTGAACAGGGAGTTACACGGTAGGACATGTTGCAGATCTTATTATTATTTTAGACTGTCTATCAAAAGCTGGTTTGAGACATCCCTCCATGCTGGTTTGGAATTGGACAAACACTCGTCTATCGGTTTGTGTTTCACGCCTCACTTCTTTTGTGCTCTTGTCACTTCCTTTCGGACTTTGTAACAGAACAAACCATGGTCAAGCCTTTTCTATTTGTTAAAATGTTGATCAATGTGAATGCCTCCATTTCGCCACATAAGGTAATATATTATTGTTTGCAGGATGATTGAGAGCTTTGAAGGAGGATCGAGCGAAATAAAGAACATGATAGACATCCAGTTTCAACAATCTGCTACTCAAGACAAGACGAGTATGTTTTATTATGTGGACTGCTTTGTTGCGTTTACAGCGTCTGCAGCTCTTTTCAATCATCAATCATAAATATCTTCTTAACCAAGCTTGCTCAAGATCTTTTTTCAGTTCCTTGCCCCCATTTGGAGGATTGGGCCAGAGATACGTTGCCTTTATGAGTTTATCTGTCCCTTTTCTTGGCAACAGACATACCTGCAACCCATGATGTCAAATGCATCTAATTACACCCCCTTTTGCTCCAGGCTTTACTTGGAGAATATCGAATATCTTGTTGTTTTCATTTTTTTAATGGACCTAGGGCCAGTATTCTCTTAGTACAGCAATAGCTCTTGGTTAATGACATATGTTTATTACATGAAAACGTTATTACTTCGAGTTTGGAAATGAAGGGATATATGAAGTGTTACAATGAGAGGTATGGTTATAACATGGAACCAGCACAGCATACTGTGGGGTCCAGAAATATTAGAATTTGTACGATTTTTACTTATCCTTGAAAAACAATTTCAAAGCATGAGCTAACCGTTGGCATTTTTATTGATCCTGTGTTTAGTTGTGATGGAAATACAGAGTTTCCGTGTGATAGTTAACCTGGAGTTTCTATTGGTTCTGTCCAACGTGTTCATGTCGGCTCTGGCCAGTGATGGGCCTGTAACTGGTGTACCACTCGCTCCTCAACAGTCTCAAGCAATAGCCACCAAGGACAAGCCTGCAGCCACAGTTAACACCACTGACGAAGACCCTCCACAAATTACCGTCCAGATCTCCATCAAAGACCCAGAGATTGTCTTGCTAGCAGATGCAAAAGACAAGGACACCAATGCTTTGTTCTTAAAGGTGAGTAAACTTCACACAACAGCTAGTTTCAAAAGCATTAGTGTCCATTTGGATTAAGAATAATAAAAAAGCGAGTCAAATACAAAAACATAAGAGTTCTATCGATGTTACCAACAGAAAATATTATTTTTTTCACTCACATTTAAGCATTCTGTGCTTTTTGTCTGTAGGTGTTCATGGAATGTGGAGAGAACTAAATTAAAGAAATTTATGGAAAGAAAATATAATTTAGAAATAAAATACATAAAGAAAGATTTTTTTGAAAAAAATATTTGTAACTGAATGTCCCATGTTAAGTAGATGTCACACAAATTTAAGGAAAACTGTCTTAATGTTAATTTCGCAGGTATTTACCTTTGGTAACATACACAAAGGAGGATTTGTAATCGCTTTGCTTATTAGCATTTATCGACATTATGTATAAATGACTTTCTTATTGTCTTTCTTGCAGAGTGCAGTTGATTTCCACTTTGTCCAGGGTTATGGACAGCAAAAGATGGCTGGATCTGTTACGGATGTTATCATTTTCTCAGCGGCTTTTGACAAGGACAAGAGAAAGTCAACAAAGTCAAGGGTAAAACAATATTCAGACAACTATTTGTTTGACATGAACTAAGTTTATTGCACAAATGGGAGATATTAAGTACATTAGAAGTTGAGTATTAAGGTGATTCCTCACATTTGCATTGTGCATCCTTACTGTGCATAATTTATGGCGTCATTCGCGCGCGCTTGTGCACGCACACATTGAAAACATGGCGGATTTGCCTTGATAATGAGTTCTGTCAGTTGAAAAATGGCCATAGCTCACTAACGAGCTCGGGCACCCCAAATTTTTTTCCAGTCATTTTAATCAACTAATCATTAGCTTTGCGTATGAAAAGACTGATCTGATTTCTATTGTTGAAACTTGTTGAAANTTTGATAGCCGTGGCAAGCAATTTGGTTCCAATATTTTAACAAGGATTCAGCTGTCTGTCAAAATCAAACCTAAAAAGTTTATTTGTGTCCGACTCAAGTATTGACTGTAGTTTGAGGCGTGTTTCATGAGTCTGGGCTCACAAAGAGTTTACAATGACTCGGAATGCGTTCTTGAAATAAGTATTAAATAATGCTAAAATGGGACATTTTCAATGTCTCACTACTCCTTAACGAGCATGGGCACCCCCCTTTTTTTATTTTATAATTAAAGTTCTCATATGATAAATATTCAGTGGACAAAGTTTGAACACAAATCTATGGACAGTTTTTATTTCAGGGGAATTACCTTAATAGTGTTGTAATAAATGATAGCATTACTATTCAAATTTCTCAGAGTGTTGTTCTGATAGTAAAATTTCACTTCTTTGGCAAGGGAGATCTATTGCCTAATAGGAGAACATTTGTTTTGCAATATTAGTACAAGGACGCACAAAAAATTGATCGTATGGCATCGTTGACGGGATTTTCCATTGATCCCTTTGTGCTTTTGGTAGGTTCTCCAGCTGTCCCAAATTTCCCTTCTTAGCTCTGTACCAGAAGGCAGTAGCATGAAGGTTGATGTATCAACTGGAATGGCTTACGTGCATGTCTCTCCACCCACCATAAGGACGCTGACCGCATGTCTGAAGTCATTAACACCTGCCAAGGTTTGTATCGGGTAACTGTTCGTGAGCCTAGCGTTTTGCAAGGTAGGTGCTTACCGCGCCAGTTTCTCTTAAATGAAGCAAAGTGACTAACAGTGTTGGACATTGCAAGTCCACCACGGTTATCTCCCGGTATTTTGTGAGGTTGACGGTCGCCTGTGCAAAAATATAACTATGAGTAGAGTGTCTTGTCCATGAACACTACACAATGGGAATACGCCAGACCGCAAACCCCTCAAATTTCTGGATCTGGAGTTCAGTTTAAAAACCAGTAACACATGGTACGATAAAATGCCCCTTGGTTACCTGACACCCACTGAGGTATTTAAGTCATTTAAACGTCAAAAGTAGCTCTTTACACTTACATCTGAAAATAATCCTGTAGCATTTTGTAGAATATCGTCTGATACCAAAGATGATATTCCTCAACATGTAGTCAAGGTCATTGGTCACTGTAACGATTTGTTCAATCTAAAAGATGTTCTCTTGTCTTTTGCCTGGAGGCTTCGCTGTTTGAGCTCATTCATCCCCTGGTATTCTTATGATTTTGTTTCATCTCAGAGTGAAGATGACGAAAAGAAGACCACTGAAAATGCAGTTGAACTTTGGAGTGAAAAGCCAATCTCAACTGAGGATAGATGGTATTTATCCCCAGGTAAGACACTTATCATCACATGTGACAGTGTGGTTCATCGCCTTTCTTTTTAATGACTGATCACAATTTATTGAACATATGAAATAAATTTCAGTTAATCAACAAGTCGTGTTTCTATTTTGAGCTATGTGCTTTGCTAATCCTCCATCGACCTTGGATGACCTCACGTGAGAATCCTGAAAACCACCCAATCAGAGCGAACTTTAGCATCTTGATACGTGCTTGCTAAATTTGGCCACTGTCTTTTGCTCTCACACGAGATAGACTACAGTGGGACATTTTGTCCAGCATATTTTCTATTCCCTCCCACCCACCCAAAGCACTTGCCCACTCATAGGTCTTCGTAGTAATATAGTTTGCCTAAGGGCTTTTCCAATCATCTAGGATATTTTGTAATACAACTTAAATTGTAGGGCGACATCA